TTTGGCTCGTTAAGGATCAAAATGTTTTGCGGGTAGCTAATACGTAATGTCTTAGCTGGTAGTGGACTGTATTTACTTTGCGGCGCAACCTCTAAATAATGATAAAAGGGACTTACCCAATGATTCCATAAGTGCACTCCTGCAGGGACCCTGCTTTACACACGCGCTGCGGATTATGGTGTTCCCAATTACGGGTTATGTAACTTTGTAGAAGGTTGATACGAGAGGACTTCACAATGAAGTTTTGAGATTAGAAATATTGCGACCGGGTTAAGCCGTACGACGACGCGCCCGTGTCGTCTCATCGAGTTTCTTAGCAATTCTGTCCAATTACTCGCTTCTGGTACGTCCACTATCAAAATCTAGAGGTACGACTTTTTTTGCGCGAAACAAAACAAAAAAATGCGAGCAAACAGGAATTTTGCACCTTTGCCAAATTGTATAAAATTTATTTAGAATAAAGACGAAACAATAATAATAATAATACTTGGCTGTTTAGGGTCAGCTATCGAGGACCGCCCCTTAGTGTTGGAGGATACTGGGGGAAATAAAATACCCGGGGTGGACAAAAACAAAACCGTTAGGAAGGCCAGCTACCTTCTTAGCGTGAATAATAAGCTTTCAACACAAGAAGAAAAAGATACTCGGGCGGACCAAGGCAGCAGGACTTGGATCGGAACCGTCAGGAAGAATTACCTGCAATGACGCCTGCTCCGACAAATTACCCAGGAGAGAACCTAACAAAGGATACTCAACCAGGCCCTTCAGGGATACAAAGTCAGGACTTACAAAGAGAAACAGAAGAAAATAAACGACAAAAATGGAGCAAAAATGACTACAAGGCTATATTGTGGTGCTACTACTACCTATAGGAGACGACAGGAACAAAAAGCCTCAAAGATAATTATTACTTGTGGAGCAGCCGAAACCCAAATAGCCATCCCAACATCTCCGCAAACACACTGGCAACCCAAAGGCGATACATCGTGAGTGACAAAAAACTTACTGAAACTGAGATAGACCAAGTCAAGGCGCTAGTACAAAAACACATAAAAGATGTTGCGCAGAAATCGGAAGAAACGATACAGGACATGCAGAGGAACCAGAGAATACATGACACACAAAACGGAACTGATATTGTAGAGAAGCAAACTAATCAACCAGCACAAAGCGAAAGTGAGAAAAGCGTAGAAAATATAATCAGAGAAATTGAGAACAAGATCAATGATACCGATATCAATTCTATAATAAGAGATAAACTACCAAAAATTAATAAATCACAAAAATCAACACACCTCATCGCCCAGGCTAACGAGGCAATTCAACAAATAATAAACTGTTGGGCAGAAAACCAGCAATATTATAACAGATAAATAACCTTGTTTATGCTGCTGGGGCAATATGTGCTTATCTCAACATAAAACAAGAAAAGAAGGGCGCAAAATTTAGGAAACCAAGATGGAAAATCAGGATAGAACAGCGAATAGCACAAATCCGGAAAGAGCTCTCTCAAATAAACGAAATATCTTGGGAAAACAATACAGACCGAATGATGCAGCTGATAAAGCAAAGAGTATTCCAGAAACATAAAATAAAGAACAAACAGGATGAAGACAACGTTATGGAAGAACTCAAACAAAAGATTCAAGCACAAGCTCAAAGAATAAGAAGATACAACGAAAAATACAAGTTTTTTTATCGAAAACAAAAACTTTGCTGAAAACCCCAAAAGTTTCTATAGGACATTAAAGCAGAATAACATAAGCATTGAAAAGACACCGGAAAAAGAATAGATACAGACATTCTGGAAAGGCATATGGCAGGAACAAAAACAACACAACGAGAAAGCGCAGTGGATACAGTGAAAGGAGCAACGATATACAAACATCAGGAACATAGAATGGGCAGACATGATAGTAAAGGAAGTCCAGGAATCACTTAAAAAGGCATCCAACTGGAAATAACCTTGGCAAGACGGAATACAAAATTTCTGGCTGAAAGGTTTCACGTCAATACACCAACCGCTCTACCAATATAACAGAAACAGACTAATGAAACACCCAGAAATCATGCCAGAATGGATAACATAAGGAAAGACACTATTGCTCCCCAAGAATGATAAAACGGCAGAAGCCAAAAACTATCGCCCAATAACCTGTCTAACAACCATGTACAAAAATCGAATCGCTATAATAAGCAGCAGTCTCTACGAGCACCCAGAAACAAATGGGATTTTTCCAAATGAGCAAAGAGGGTGTAGAAAAGGCAGTTACGGGTGGGTTGGATAGACTATCAAAAGGCCTTTGACAGCGTTCCACACTCGTGGCTCCTAAAGGCTTTTCAACTATACAAAACAAATCCGAAAATGCACCTAACAGTTAACGCAAATGGAGCAACTATAGATGCAGGGACTATAAAAATCAAAAGCGGCATATTCCAGGGAGACTCACTATCACCTCTCATCTTCTGTTTGGTGCTCTTCCCGCTCTCGTATGTGTTAAACAGCACCAACAGAGGATACGTACTAGAGAGGAAAAAGCAGCCCGTCAATCGTCGACGACAAAGAATTGGAAGACCTTTTTATCAATGTCAAAAGATTTAGTGACGATATAAAGATGCAATTCGGACTAGAAAAGTGCGCTAAAGTAACAGTAGAACGAGGAAAAACAACAAAAACCCAAAATATAGTCATTGACAATGAAGCCAATATTATGGATCTAGAAGAGACGCAAATGTATAAATACCTGGGAGTGCTGGAAAATACTGGAATAGAGGATAAAAAAATGAGAGAAAAAATATCCAGGGAGTACTACAGCAGAAAAATCCTACAATCAGTCACAGGAAAAAAATAAATTTACGGCCATCACAGCGCTCGCCCATCCAGTACCAACTTACAGCTATGGCGTTCTAGACTGGAAGGAGGAAGAAATAAGAAATACAGACCGGAACACATGAAAGTTACTTACCATCTATAATCTGCATCATCTCAACACGGGCGTAGACCGACTCTAGACAATCAGATCAAGCAGAGGAAGAGAACTACATAAGAGAAAAAAAAAGGAAGACAGACTCGTGGAGTTGATAAAACACAACAAAACGCCAAGAAAAGAAAAGAATACACTTATGAACAAAGGCAAAAGCCTAACAGAAAAATACACAAGCAAGAAAGTGACTGAAATGAACGGAGCTACAGCGACACAAAAGGTAAATAGGCTCAAACAGCAATGCAGAAAAAAAATGAACAAAGAAAGAGAACAAAAATGGAAAAACAAGGAAATGCACGGACAATACGCCAGTGAAATCGATAGAGGTGACGTAGACAAAAAACAGACATTCAGATGGCCGACAACAGGAATTCTGAAAGGCGAAACTACAGCGCTGATAGAAGCGGCACAAGACCAGGCCATTTCAACCAACTATATAAGAAAGAAGATTTTCAAAGAAAAAGATTCCAGATGCAGACTCTGTAAACAATATGACGAAACAATTAAGCACATTACCACTGGATGCCCAGCTCTTGCCAGAAAAGAATATCTTGAACGACATAACAAAGTATGTTCAACGCTCCACTATAATATCTGCAAACAGTACGGAATAGAAACCGAGGATACATGGTCATGGTATAAACACAAGCCAAAAAGTGTTGGAACCAAAGACGATATTATAATAATAAATAATATGGGATACGCAAATACAGACAGGAATCGGATGGCGCCAGACACAATAATTAAAGATCTCAAAAATAAAACCTGTCTATTAATCGACGTTGCCGACAAATCTGAAAAGATTCTCAAATACCGACCTACAAATAGAAGTACAGATAATGTATGGGCTCAAAACAACTATCATCCCTATGATAATCGGCACAACAGGAACCACCCACAATAACTTCGAAGAGTCTTTAGGCAAAATACCTGGCAACAACAACAAAAACACAATCACGACGCTACAAATAACTGCACTTCTGGAGACAGCCCACATAATCCGACGAATTCTTGGATAAGGAGACATAGACCATTTATTCTAAGGAACAGGGATTGTTCTTGATAAATGGAGAAACGCCGAATGCACACGGTTGATGACTGATAATGAAAATTTCCTTCCGGTAATATTCAGGTGAAAATACAGAGGCGCCTGGCAATTTTGGACCAATAGGGAGCGAATTACAGCGATAATTTTGCACAAGTGCAAATTATCGATAATTTGCACAAGTGCTAATTGCCGATAATTTTTTTCAGGTACCTATTTATTACGTGACTCAACGAGTTATTATCAGCTTTGTGCACAGTAAATTAGACACAAATTATCAGCTTAGTAGATTAGACTATTTCCAAATCGACGTTTGAGATCTCTTCATATTGATCGGCGTAAGGTATTCGATACTTTTATCAATACCAGCCTCTGCACTCTTCCCAAAACAGGCCATATTTGCTTACAAATTCGAAAATGAAACCTTTGACAAATTTGTTGATTGGCAATAACATAGCAACATAATAATTGTTTTAAACCAAGGTCCCTAGTAAAATACTGCGAACAGGTATAATGATTCAGGAAATTTTCTTATAAAATATAGCTCGTGCAATGAAAATATATCTATAATTTTTGAAAAATTTGCACTCATGCGTTTTTAACTGAAAAAGGCACTCGTGCACTTCGTGCACTCGTGCTATTTGTCAACTAAAAATGCATTCGGGCAAATTTCCCAAAAATTATCGATAATTTTCATTGCACTTGTGATATTACTACTGATAATAATAATTCCAAAAACTGGCTACTGGCTTCACAATAGAATTCCTTAACAAAGCAACTCAGTACTCAGTCAACTTGAGATCTTCCAAATGAATAATTTTTTTTACACATAACATAACTCATCCCTAATGTGCAGCCACAAAAATGTATTCCAAATTTGTGTACTAATTGGATGAGTCATTTATATTGTATTGAAGTTAACACACCAGAGGACCTCAGAACAAGAAATAATCAAATTTTCATAAACTCACCATAAAAACTAGTCAAATTCCTCAAATGCCAATCGTTGAAGGCATGTTCGCCAGGTTCAGGTGGTATTCCTCCCAGAAACATAGGCGATGTCAGTCTTAAAAAGTCTTTTGGTCCATCGTTGATGATGCTCCGGGCTAATCCACGGTCCACGCGAAGTGTAAAGTTTTTCTTGATCGATATCAGCTCGGCTATGTGGTATTGACCGTCAGAGACCATCTCGAAGCTAAGAAACATTCAATAAATTTGTCTATTAAAGACAATATTATATGTACTGACCTATACATGGTTGACACAGGATAGTTTCCTACATTATAACTAATTCTAATTCGTCCATTAAAAAGTTCAACCGCCAAATGTTCATCGTGTCCGTCGTACATCAGTACTCCATCTTCTTGGGTCGTAGCAAACACTATTGTGACATTTGCTTCGGGTTTCGTTCGTAAAGGTTCTAGTTCGACGTAGGAGTTGTTGTGAGTGAAACTGAGACTTGTCAGGTACTCGCAACGTTTTCCTATGAGGAAGATTTTATTTAAATATTTTTTTATAAAATTTGAAAAATTGAGTTTACCTGAATATCCTGGTGCACATTTGCACAAATAGTCGTTCGAACCGCTAGGTTGGAAACAAACTCCGTGCACGCAATCGTGGTGCTGACATGGTGAGGTTTGAGGATACATCATAGCCACTATGGGGCTGATCTCGCAGAATTTCCCTGTAAAGTCTCCCGAACATTTACAGAGGTATTCGTTTATGCGGTCCTCGCAAGTAGCCCCATTCTAAATTAAACACGAAAATTATTACCAAACATTTATATAAAAATGAAAATTCTTGCCTGGCACATGTGGTTCTCGCAATCGTCTATGTTGATGGAGCAGTTCGCGCCCTTAAAACCAGGTATACACTCGCAAGTATAATAACTATCGTGATCGACACAGCGAGCGTTATTTTCACAAGGATTGTATTGCTCAGTACAAAAGGGAATTTTTCGCTCGCAGTACTCGCCTGAAATGTACAATCTTAATGACAATTATTTTAATGAAAATCGAGACGTTTATTATTATTGTCACGTGTAGTGGTTTTTGTATTTTAATATTTCAAAGTTACTATGTATGAAATAATAATTGTGAATGTGGGAATGTTTTGTGTCGAGTCAAATTATGTGTTTAAAGTATTAGAAATGTATAAAAAATTTCATTTATAAACTTACCCATGAATCCATTAAGGCATTTGCACTCGTACGAGTTCACCAAGTCCACGCAAGTAGAATTATTGTCGCATTTGTTTTCAGTGCAGTCGTCTATGTTTGTTTCGCATCTGAGGCCTGTGTAACCTGGCAGACATTGGCAGCTATAAAAAATAAATTTGATTAATAAATACAATCAATCCATAAAAGGATAAACGTTTCTTACCTAAATCTGCCTTCCTCTAAAACTTTACAGGTTCCCTGGTTCCTACAAGGATTTCCATAGCAGGCATCGATCATAAACTCGCAATTTTTGCCGTGATACCCTGGAGCGCATTTGCACTCGTAATCCTTTTCCGGTAATGAGTGACATTTTCCATTATTCTGACATGGATAAGTGTAGCAAGAGTCGCACTTGGCCAAAATATCCGTAGAGACTTGGCCTGAAATAAATTGCTAGTAAATTTCTGAATATTTTCGTTAAGCATTTCAATACCTTTACAAATAAATGCTGAAGATGGCGTGCTCAATATCGATTTGTCCTTCATATTGAAAGGTTCTGCACAGTGAGCTATTCCTGGTTCCACGTAATCTACTTTAACCCAATCAGATAGCCATCTTAATGAGCAATCACAGTATAGAGGATTGGAACCCAGAGCACTATAACAATTTCCATATTATAAGTAAATATTCATGTATGAAGTTGATGTAACTTACATGTGGCTAATACTTTTTAGACCAGCAAAAGTCCCCTCTGGAATCAAACTGATTTGATTTCCGTGTAAACTCAATATCCTCAACGATTTGAGGCCTTGTAAGGAACCTCTTTGAATACATTGTAGTTTATTGTAGCTTATTATCAGGGTAGATAGTTTTGAAAGTGTGGTAAAGGTGGAGTTGGATAGGATGCCTATTTGATTATTACTCAAATCTCTGAAATTTAACAATACATTTATATAAAAATTTAAAAAATATTCATTACAACTTACAATCGCGTAAGTGATTTCAAATGGCTTATACGATCCGCTTGAATTCTGTCAATCTGATTGAAATCTAGATACAATTCTGAAGTTTCTGAGGGGATACCTCTGGGTATTTCTTTTAGGCTTGCTCTAGTACACCTTACAACGGTTCCTAAAAATATCCAAAAATTATTTGATATAAATGAATTATTTTACAATTTCTTACCTGTACAAGAACACATAGGTGGACAATAATTATCTCCCAAACAACCCTGATCATTTTCGCTGGTGCATTTAAATTCAGTTTTAGGTAGTTCCTTGATTAGAACATCTTTGACTCGTTCAGGACCTGCGCAACGGGGCGTAGAACCACTCAAGCCTTTATTTTTTAGCCATTCAGAGAACCACGCTAGGTGACAGTTGCAAACAAAGGGATTTTGAATTAAGTTCCTGAAAAAATCAATTTGTACCAATTGTTCTAATTAACTCAACGTATACTTACAAAGTGTGTAAAGACTGTAATGGATCAAAAGATCCAGGCATAACGCAAGTAATCTGATTGTTATTCAGAGACAAAACTTTCAAACTGTGCAGTCCCAGAAACATTTTGTTGTGGATTTCCATGAGTTTATTTTCAGATATTAATCTGGAATTCAAAAATTCAATTTAACTAGTAGATGAGGATTGGGTAGGTACATACAATTCTGAAATCTTTGAAGCTCCTTCAAAAGCATTTTCCTCGATGCCTGTAATGAAATTTCTACGTAAGTCCAGCTTCACTAAATTGGGTAGACGGCCAAATAATCCGTCCGATTTTATACGGCCTAGTTCATTGTCGTTCAGTAATCTAAAGAAATTTTTTGTTAATAATTGATTAGCTATTTTAATTGGATCAGACTTACAGTTCGGTAGTGTAAAGTGGAATATCTCTAGGTATGTCTTTTAGGTTTCTTCCTGAACAGTCCACAACAGATCCGTCACAAGAGCATCCAGTTGGACATTCGTTGTCCACGAGACACTCGCCTGCGTACATTGTCCTGAATTCGTCTTGACCTATAGAAATATTGGAATTATTCTGTGCCAAAATATGTATTTCGAGAAAATTGAATATGTCATATGAATTAATCTACGACAACCCTTTTTTTTCAAGTTTCAAGGTCAAGTATGAACCCTGGTGAAACGAACCTTACTCAACTATTGAAAACGAGTTATTGGCGATAGTCTGGGCTATTAAATATTTTAGACCCTATCTTTTCGGAAGAAAATTTACCATCTTATCAGACCATAAACTTTTATAATGGTTATTTAACGTAAAAGAACCAGGTTCTAAATTAGTGCGTTGGAGACTAAAACTATCGGAATATGACTATGAAATAAAATATAAAAAAGGGACATTAAATATGAGACCTCCGATACAAATTTATGTCATTCATCAAACTCTGAAGCTAAATTAACAAATTCTGATGATGAATTCCATAAACAATTAGGAGAAATGTTAAAAGATACTCCATTAAACAATGGTGAAATAATTAGAAAATATTTCGTGGACACTGAGCTTTATAAGCCAAAAGTAGATCCTAATCAAGAGAAATTAACATCAAAACCTAAAGAAAAATCGAAGATTAATATAATTTCGCAAATAATTATACCTCCAAAAGAAAAGAAAGAAGTTCCAATAAAAGTAGGAGAATCTTAAAAGAAATAAATTCCTATTCCTATAGAGGTAGGACAATCTTCAAAGGCCCAAAGAAATGAAAGAAAATCTTTATCTAAACAAATGACAGATTCTGAAGATGAGCAAACAATTACATCACCTTCAGAAGATGAACAAACCATACATACATCACGAGAAAACCCAATTTTAGGTGCACCCTATACAAAGAAATATCTAAATGTATTTAATAATCAAGTAATATTTAGATATTCAAATAACAGTAATATTCGGAAAGAAATTGTTAAACTATTTCCCAAAAAAAAGAGACTAATATTCTTTTTACCGAATGAACCCTCTAATGAACAAATAATCAATTTGATTTTCTCGAGATGTATGTATGGTTTGTTCATCTTCTGAAGGTGATGTAATTATTTGCGTTATAGAATTTGACGAACCACAAGAAAAAATTAAGTTTTTCCATGAGACCAAAACATCCCATAGAGGAATGACAGAAAATATTTCAGCAAATGTCCAAAAATATGTCAAAGCATGTGAAATATGCAACAAGACTAAATACGAAAGGCAACGGTATAAGTTAATATTCAAGCCACTTAACAATATTTTTTATATCTTTTTATTTTTAAATAAATTGTTTTTAAAAAGTTAAGTTTCTGATTCGAAAATATAATTTAGTTGCTGAGGAGGTATTGCTGTGTTTTCTGAATCCATATTGACCTGCATACCAAAAGTTCATTCCATCCAAATAACTGGTTAATCTCATATTTACACAGGTCTCCAATACCTTAGACATAGTTACAATATTCTCTTCGTTACTTGTAGTTTTTTGTTTTACTAGAACGTGCAATTTAAGATAAACCAACTAAAGCCAGCTGCATAGAGATATTTTTCGGAAATTGGAAATGTTTGGGAAAATGAAGAAACTGATTGGATCAAGATATTAATTAAATGATCTAAAAAAGATTAGATTATCAGTCCCTATCAGTGTAGTTCAAAAGCAACCTAACATGTAGTCCGCTAAGAATTTGAGACAATCAGATAGCTATTAATTGACTTGAACTGAATAATCCTTTAAAGGCTTATAGATGAGAAAACTCCTTATTGCATTTATCCCAACACCAAAAAAAAATAAATCTAAATACATTTTATTACCGTTTCTCTTACATTTGAATTTCTCATCCTTCATCGTCTCTATTCTTTTCCTTTGCATTTTCTTGGGCGACTCGCATCGGGCTCCTGACGTTTCAATCGGATTCTTGTGCAGGTATTCGGCGAGCCATTTCAAGTTGCAATCGCATATGAACGGATTGCGGGCTAAATGCCTGAAAATGGGTTTCGGGAAAACGTCGGCTTTTAGCGTACATGTTTAACAAATCGCGGGAAATAAATCGAATTCTAGCTTACGTAACTGATACTTACAGGGTTTGGATGCTCCTGAGGGAATCGAAACTGCCGTTGGATAAAGATTGGATGTTGTTATCGTATAAAGACCTGTAGAGAATAATGTTATTATAAGTTTTATGTAGTTTTAGATAATATACTTACAATAGGCTCAAACTGTGCAAATCTTTGAAAGTATCTCGACGAACGCAGGATATTTCATTTGCATTTAATAACCTTAATTGGAAAAAAAAAATATATAGGTAATTAATTTCCTAAATCATACAATTATTATTCAAAACTTACAATAGTTGCAATGATGTTAGTCCTTGGAAAACACCTGAGGATAGCTCTTTTATTTTATTTCCATATAGTACCCTGTTGAGAAAAGTATTCAATTTAAATAAGATATTGAAAAACATGTGTTTGCACTTACAAAGATGTTAAGCCTTTTAGGCCTTGAAACGCATCTGGGGCAATTTTAGATATCTTGTTGTTACTTAAATCACTAAAATGAAACAATGATGATAAATTGCAAATTCAACATTAACATTAACTTACATTCTTCTCAGCCTCTTGTAGACAGAGAACGCTTTATTTGGAATGTGTGTGATTTGGTTTTGTTCTAAACGACTAAAAAAGCAAAAATTGTTAATAAAAAAAATTATTGATAAATGATTGTACTTACATTTCAGTAGTCGTTTCGGGCATATGATCAGGTACCTGCGTGAGCCCCTTTTCTCTGCAATCTACAATACCTTCTGCGCATCGGCAAGGGTGCGGACATTGTGGCTCACTAACGCATTCTCCACTGATAGCTTTCTCAGCCAAGCCTATGATAAGTAGAAAAATGAAATATTTATAAGTACTCATCACTGACTAATTCTTACCTGAACATTTAAATTCATGATCCTTCACGTCTGCGACGTTTTGGCCCTTCAAATGACTGGGCGAGTGGCACCTGGTGTATTGAGCCAGTCTTGGTGAGTGCCTCAAATACCTTCCAAGCCAGGAAAGGTTGCAATCGCAATGTAGTAGATTTTCCGCCAGCCGAAGTGTGCGGAGGCGGAACATGTTGGCGAACATGTCTTTTCCTATCCATGTTATGTTGTTGTTGTTTAGAGTCCTGGAAAAGGATTATATTTCATTTAACAATTTGATTCTCGATAGTGTGAGGCATCTATTCAGAATATTTTCCTGTAGGAAAAGTCACAAATCCACTTTCATTCATTGGGATACTTCACTAGTTACCGCAGGTTTCAAATTTAATAGTTTTAGTCAGTGTAACACAAATGAGAATACGAAATCAGATTGAAACAACAATCATAGATGTGATCCCAAATAGTTAGTGGTGCCATCTTTTAGGGCTCACACCTATAATGGTATTATGGTGGTAGTTATCTCAATTAGTATGCTCGTTTGTGTAGCACTGACGAAAACTAATGAATTCGAAACCGGTCTGTAACTATATGTGGTGGAAATGGGAATTCAATTTTTTCTTTGATATTTTAGAGAGCATACAATTTTAGCTAGATCAGCACCTAATCTTCCCTCTTTCACCATATAATAGCAGCAAATATTTTCCCAGAGAATCAAGATCCAGAGAAAATCATAATTTGGATTATTCCCGATTCGTGATTGCCACTAGCAATTTTCTAATGAATCGAGAGCCGGTAATTTGGACTTGGACTATCATTGGTTCTTGATTGCTCCTAGAGCAGTTTTCCAGTGATTGGAGAATTGTTAATAGTCGCAACTTCCAAAATATTCCAGCGAATCCATTACTGGTAAAAGTTCAAGTTTCGAGTATTACTGGCTCTGGATCTGTTGGACTGTGGACAGCCAAGAGCCGATAATAATCAAAATATGGACTGTTATCGACTCCTGATTGCTACTAGAACAATTTTCCAGCGAATCGGAGGCCAAGAATAGTACAAACATTTCCCCATTAAATCAAGATCCAGAGAAAATGTTAATTTGGATTATTACCAACTCTTGATTGCCACTAGAGCAATTTTCCAATGAATCGAGAGCCGGTAATTAGGACTATTATTGATTCTTGATTGCTTCTGAAAGCAATTTTCCAGTAAATGGAGAACTGGTAATAGTCCCAACTTTGGAAATTCTCCAGCGAATCGAGTACCGGTAATTATTCAAATTCTGGATATTACTACTAGCTCTGGATTTGGAAAGATGCTACAATGACAGCCAAGAGCCGATAATAATCAAAATAAAGACTATTACCGGCTCCTAATTGCTATCTACTAGAGCAATTTTCCAGCGAATTGGAAGCTAGAGAATAGTCCAAACATTTTCCCATTAGATCCCGAGAAAATCATAATTTGGATTATTACCAACTTTTGATTACCACTAGAGTAATTTTCCAATGAATCGAGAGCCGGTAATTTGGACTATTATTGGTTCTTGATTGCTCCTAGAGTAGAGCAATGTTCCAGTGAATCGAGAACTGGCAATTATCCCAATTTTTGAAATTCTCCAGCGAATCCAGTATCGGCAATAGTTCAAATTTTGGTTCTGAATTTGTTGGAAAGATGCTAGAGTGACAGCCAAGAGCCGATAATAATCAGAATATAGATTATTACCGGCTCTTGATTGGTACTAGAGCAATTTTCCAGCGAATCGGAAGCCAGTCCAAACATTTTCCCATTTGATCAAGATCCAGAGAGAATATTAATTTGGATAATCACCAACACTTGATTGCCACTAGAGCAATTTTCCGATGAATCGAGAGCCGGTAATTTGGACTATTATTGGTTCTTGATTGCTCCTAGAGCAATTTTCCAGTGAATAGAGAACTGGTAATAGTCCCAACTTTTGAAATTTTCCAGCGAATGGAGTACCGGGTAAGAAAGAGACTGGGTGACCTGGCGAGCATGGAATGTAATCACTAATCATACACTGGAGAGATTGAAGCAACTTGCGCAGGAACACTAACCTGTAGGTTGGCAAGAATTGACGATAGCCAAACAATTTCCAACTAGAGATCTAGGATTAGAACTGCAAACAATGAACAAAATAAGGGTTGCTCTACCAACTATTGGTATAGCAAGAGTTGTATTCCTTTCACGCCTAGGAGGAGCTCCGGAACTGTAACAGCTCTGGGGATCCACGCGCTTATTCCTTTCGAAAAGTGTTTTTTGCGCCACGCATCTGTTCCCTGCAAATCGGGGGCGACTGAACACCGGAGCGAGTAGCTCGAGTGCTTCAAACTCTTGAAAGGAATACAACTAGGGGCATTTAACCCTGAGTGTCTGTCGGAAAAAGTTTATAGAAGATTTATTTATTTATTTATTTAGATACAAGGAAAATATGCTGTATTGGGTTTTATGCCGTGGCCTTATTATTAGACCTCCAGAATTGGCGATGAAGATAAGAGGATCATCGCAACATCATGAGTTGGTTCTCCGGGCGGTCATACCCTTTAAATGTTTCTTATCAAGAAAAAAGGCATCTCGGCAGCTTGAATGAATGAACCTTGAAATGCATTCGTCGTCTTCTTGTTCAGTAGAAAATGAGTTTAACGAGGAAGTGGAGTCCGTAGAATCGGAAACAGAAAAAACTCAAAATAGAAATTGCTATAAGGGAAACGAGTCTCATGGTCAGATGATCCTTCGAGAAAGCGAAGATGAAAGGAAATAATGGAAGTGCGACAAACTAGGATGGAAAATATGTTAGAGAAACTATTGGAGCATCATAGAACAATGTCACCAAAAACTAGTGTAGAATGTTTGTCAGAGGAAGATAGTCATGAGCACTCGGAAAGAGGAGCTTCATCCGGGCCATCGGCCAACTGGGCGGCTCCTAAATTCTCCTGGGAGAATAACAATGATTTGATAATTGATCTTTCTTAATAAACTCACAACTCCCTCATATTACTTCAAAAGGAAGATCATCAACAACTCTATCTAAAATGGATGCTACCTATGGAATTCTCTGCCATGGCTTGTTAATGCAGAGAAAAGCGGTCCAAGATAATATTTCGGAGCTAGCGGCAAAATATCTGAACTTGGCGAATGATTTAAAGAAAAAATTTGGACATTCAAGCTCAGACTTTAGGATTGTATCGGATAATTTGCTACAATATGTTTATGAAAAAAAAGAGCAGACATTATAGAAAGTTGCAGGAGATTGTATGAACCACCAGATGAAAATGCTGCTAAAATGTTGACAGATATTCCGTCTTCAGGTTCCTATTTTTATTTGATGAGAATCAAATTGAGGAGCTGTATACTACCCGGTCAATATTTCGATACAATAAGAGACCACTATATCATCTTACGATTATGATAATAGATCGGGTAATTACCGAGTTCAAAAGAGATATTTTAAAACGCCTCATAGGAAAATCATCAAAATGATACTGGGCAGAGGAAAGGAACATTCAAACCGAAGTCTAAATATGACAGGAAACAAAATGTTTCTATAGCACATACAAGAAGAGTTGAACTTCTAATACCGACAAAAAGGCTAGACATCATCGTGTTTGACAATTTTGTTCAGAAGGAGTCTTTTCAGGGGGGGCAGCTGCAAAGTTTCGTAACAGAGTGGACAGAAGCCCCAGAAATGTTATTAAAGATTATGAAGGGCTACACCATCCCCTTCAAAGGAAGACCTCCTCTAAGTTTCTTCAACATATGAAAAACATCCGGAAAATGAGTTCAAAAATATCTCTCCAACTAAGCAAGGAGTTGAAGAAAATGAAAAGACAGGGCATCATCAAATAAACAACCGAAAAAGCGGGATTTATCTCAACAATCTTTCCAGTTCCAAAGCCAGACGGCTCCTGTCGACCAATTCTCAACCTAAAAAGACTGAACGAGTTTACCCAAACAAAGAATTTTCGACTGAGTCATTACAAGGTGTCAGACTTTTTACAAAAAGACGACTTTCTCATGAAAATATATAGACTTATCCCAGGCATATTTCTACATTCCAGTAATCAGAGGAACCTTGCATTCACTTATAAGAAGAGAGTATACGATATGACTTATCTGCCGTTTGGACTTTCAAATTCTCCTCATACGTTCTCCAGTTTAACAAATTGGATAGCAGAGTACCTCAAGGTACGGTTTGTTGGGGCAGTTCGCGACGCACAACTCACATTCTGTTGAACGTCACGCAGGTCTGCTAAAATCAACTGAGTGTAAATTATATAGACCAGTTTCCACGTGTGGCTAAATTCACCAAAATGGTGCAATGCCACCGGTGCGGTGATTTATCGATTCACTAATGCATGCTAATGCCAACCCCTGTTTAATTTAACAACACTGTTTTTTCTATCATTCCACCACGGTGCCTACCACCAGCTGAATTTAGCCACACGCGGTTTGTTGGCTTTGCGCAGGTGAGCGCGACGTACAGCGTCAGTAGTGGTAGTGTGTCAGCATGGTGCTAAACAGATTCCACAGAACGTTTACGTTGTGAGTTGTGCTTCGCGCATTGTCCTAACAAACCGTACCTTAAGAAAGAAAGGAATTAGGATTCTTGTATATTTAGACGATTTTCACTCAGCAAATCAATCCCCCAACAATTTCCAAGTACAAGGAAAGGAAGAAATAGATTTTCTACATTTATCTAGGTTGGAATGTCCAGGCAAAATCAATTCTAGGAGAGCTAAACTTTGTGTTCTTCGTGGTTCCTCTGGGACGATTGCGCTCTCAAAGAATGCAAAGAGAAAGTAATTGTTTACCCGTACAAACTCTAGAGAAGCAACTCTAGATAAAAAACACTCCATAATCCAAGACCTAGAATGGTGGAAAACAGCGATGGCTCAGCACTCTCGAATTTTTCTTCCGAATCCAAAAATTCTTATCACCACAGATGCGTCGAACGAAGACTGGAGAATGTTTACCAAAAAGGATTCTGGTTGAGAAATCAGAGAAAATATCACATAAATCAGGAAGAAATGTTTGTAGTTTGGGAAACAATACAAGAAAATATCAAAATGTTGTACAATCAGACAACAAGAGTGTGGTGTCATAAACATGGAAGGGTTGACTCTCTGGGGTTGACATTGACAAAATCTGTGACCACAGAACTCTGTGACTTTTACTACGGGAAACTGAGAGATGTGTTATTACTATGACTGTTGACTCATCAAAACAA